GTTGTTGTTTTGTAGAATCTTTGCTCACCTTGTAGAAGCAGGTTCTTTTGATGAAGCTTTGATAATGAAGATAAGCCCCCCCCCCCCCTTCTAGATGATGATGTTTCTGTTCTTCTCAAGATCTAGATCCACAAAACGCCCGAAATGCCACTGTTCTACTGCTCGACCGACTTGGTCCCGTGTTGATGACAAGGTGAGTGAACGGGTCTCTCAAGTCCCGTGAATCTGTTCAGGTCGGTGCGGGGTCAGATTTTCGCCAGTACAGACTTGCCGATGTCAACTTATTCTTTTACACCACACGCCCCCGTGATCTTAAGATCACCACAAACAACCCGACTGAACTTGTAATTCTTAAAAAGAAAAGTCATCTAACAACACTCAAATACCTCGCACAATACAGGGGAAATACCAACCAAAAATAATTTGAACAATGCTGAAATAGAAATGTCCAAATGTAACACTCATATGTTCACATTTAAAGGCAGTCATATCCTTAGACACCTATATACAGTAACCCACCAATGACGGCTCGTATCAAACTACATCACATAGTCCTGCACCCACGCAGGGACGCGCCGATGTCGCTCAGGGTAACGAGGCACTCCGACATCTGCAGGTATATCCTCTTGTAGCGGTTCTTCCTTCATCTCTGGGTTGACCACTGGCCTCAGATCCAGTACGTGTCTAGGCTTTACATATACTTCAAAATTGTTGTTAGAGTTGATCCCAGAAACTTCTCCTTTTGGCCATTGCGAAATGCACCTTGAAAAAGGTGGTTTCACCCAAACCTCATCACCGACACTCACGACCGGTTGCGGGCCTTCATGATCATTGGGGGCTCCACCTCAGGATGCCTCCAAGAGTAAGAAAACACAGAACGCTGGGGAATTGCTGACTTTTTCTGTCCATTGCTGGGCGACATATTGTACCAAAAAGCAGCCTCCATAGGAGAAATCTGAGCTCTCTCTCTCTCTGAAATAGATTTTATGGTGCGATGATTTCTTTCAACTATCCCATTTCCAGATGCTCCATAAGCAGCCCTGTAATATGGCAGTCCTCCATCGCCGCAAGAGTTCTCCCATCTCCGTTGCTCCAAACGTAGTCGCATTATCCATTAATACTGAGCACACACACACACACACACACACACACACACACACACACAAACATACGTCAAACAGACAGACAGACAGACAAACAGACAGACACCTACCTGTGTGTCAGTCCAGCTATACGTGAAGTTCTCCTTTTTAGACCAGATCCCCGGCAGAACGACAGACACCGAGCTCAGCCTTGTGTCCCCTGTCCTCTCTGCAGAGTAGACAAAAATGTGTCACGACGCGGTCAAAACTGGTGCTGGTCCGTTCCTAGACATTTAAATTATTGGTATAATAGTAAAATGTCTTTATTTGCCTTTCATTTTGAGAAAAAAATATCAATCTAATTTGAAGAGAAGTCGAGATATTTGTGAATGAAGAAGGCTGGGATCGCCTAGTGTCAGAGGTAAAGAAATAAACGAAAAAATGGCCGCCAAAGTTTCATGACTTTCAAAACTGTAGTATCCTTTGGATCTGCAAGATACATTTTTGCCTTTTATCAAGTTTTTTTTTCAGTAGAATCCACGCAGAAATATGTTTTAAATAGGCGTAAAAGGTGTTGATCCAAAAAAAAAAAGAAAAAAGAAAAAGAAATCGATAAACCGATAAAATGTTCCAGATGGGCAGAAAAGTGTCAGTGTCTTCGATTTCATTATTTTGACGAGCACCTGGTTTCATCACGTTATGCCTCAAAATGATTAGGCCTTTTCATTACACTGGGTGTTTACGTCCCATTTAACTCTTCGAGGAGGACGCACATCCTGGTCACCTCACAACGCGGAAGACGCCCTTTTTGGGGGGGGAGGGGGTGGAGGTTGTTTTTTCCTTGTTTTTGTTTTTGTTTTTTGTTGCAGTTTTTTTTGGGGGGGGGTCGGAGGTAGGGGGCTTTTTTGGAAGGGGGGCACTTTTTTTTTTATTAAAGCCCAACTTACACAGATCTAGTATCCATATAGATAATCTTTTGTTCTTATTTCATTACTGACATTTTAATCTAAACTTAAGCTTCTGTTTCGCGTCTTCAGAGGTACACATCATGATAGTACCACTAAGACGGACTTTTAAACTATAATTAGATCTATCATTTCACAAAAGATAGACAGTATCACTGATAAACCATTGCCACTTTTTTAAATTGTCTGCATTTGGTGTAACATTGTATATTTGTATATTTGGTATTCTTTGTATTTATTTTTTAAACCCAAATTCACCATGGAGGGGGGGGGGACAGTTAAGTGTCATGTTTACTTAATTCATCTAGTTGACCAACACCATCCAGTCGTCTCTTGCTAAGACAGCACAATGATAATACTCATTATCTTTTATTAGTATTAATTATTATTATGGACTATATTCACTGTCAGTGAACCTGTGTTTGTGGTGCAGTGCCTTGGGTGCTTTGCTGTCGTTAGCAAAAGTCGTAAGTTCGATTCCCTTACAGGAAGGCTTTTTTATGACCTAGTTTCTCCGTCTGTCTGTTGGGTTATTGTATGCCACTCAGACTAGTTTTGCTATGACAGGCACCCTGCCTCCTTCATGGTTTAAAAAGTTTCGACGAAGGCCGAATGTGAAACATCGACTGTTACAATTGTCAGGGTCAGAAAAAATTA